AAAAAAAAAAAAAAAAAGGAAAGTTACCCATTCTCCACTCTGTTCTCACTCCTCCCACATCCCTCACCATTTAGACACCATAGAGCAGTTTTCTGGGGTATTGGTCAGAAGGGGAATGGCCCTGCCTGTGTACTTGCAAAAAAATACTGGGCTCCTCTAACCTGAAAGACTCTGGATCCCTCCAAGCTTGGGAAGCAGCCTTGTATAGCAGGAAAGGAGACCCGTATAGCTCCCAAACAAAGCATTTTGTCCACAGTAGTAACTCCAATATGTCCTGACCTCCATAGAGTCTGTCCCTAAAAAGAACTAGATAGGACTGTGAGAGCACCATAGCTATTCTGAGGCAAAGAGACTCCTGGTTTAAAGGATCCCAGAGGGCAAAGGCAAAGCCTGTGACAATGTGCTTCTCACTGTGCAATCTGTACAGCACCTAGCTCAGAGTTTCATGCCAGGCATACCATCCTGAGGCTGGTTTTACTCTGCCAGATGTCATCACCGGTCACTGATGAGGAAGGCACTCATTTGAGAGAGGGTCACAAACAAGTGTGAGGACACAGGAGCTGGTGGGCAGTGAGAAGAGGAGGGAAGAAGTTGGCTGGAACAAGACCAAAGCAAATTGGAATTGCATCAGATGGATTTTTGTATGAGGAGGAAGGACAGATAGCAGTTTTGGGGAAAAGCACTAAAGTCCATGTTTAGATGAATTGTGCAACATGGGGGAGCAGGGACTCCAGAGTGGGAGAACACCTGTGTCTGGGTTCCAGGATAGGTTCTAGCCCCTTCTCTGCTGCTTCTAGGGCGAACTTTGCGCTGCAAGGCTTTCTACAGTGTCAACGGCTCTGTATACTGTGAGGAAGATTATCTGGTGAGTGGAGGACCTACACCTGAAATTGACTTCCTTCTGGAATTGGGACCACTGTTAATGGTGGTTCTACCCATTATTCTCAGCTTGGTAACATCCTCTTTTTGTTTTTTCTCTAGTTTTCAGGGTTTCAGGAAGCAGCTGAAAAATGCTGTGTCTGTGGTCACTTGATTTTGGAGAAGGTAAGGAAACTACCTTCAGCAGACTGTCAAGTTGTGGGCCTGAGGTGTGGAATCAGGCTAAATGGATACTGGGAGAAGGCCAGGGAGGAAACCTATCACCAGATGAATCACGTTCTTGCAATTTCTCCCCAGAGCAGTTGTTCATAGTGCCATTCCAGGCTTCTGTGATCTGACCCCTCCCTGACCCTACAGGCACAGCCAGGCCTTCCAGACTGAGCTGGGAGTGTAAAGGTCTTCGGTCTTAGTCCCTTTTCTGCTACTGGTTGGGATCAGTTGGAATGCAATTTTCTTTTCTGTAAAAAGAAGGAATTGGATTAGATCAGTGATTCTCAACCCTGGTAGCCTAGCAGGTCACGTGGGAAAAACTGGAAAAAGTACAATGCTGGGGCCTATTACCAGAGCTGTGATAAAAGTTTCAAAGGGGACCTAGGTATTGATTTGTTACTTATTTATTTTTTCTGAGATGGAGTCTCACTATGTAGTCTAGGTTGATCTGAAAGTTTTGATCCTCCTGCCTCAGCCTCTTGAGTGTGCCACCATGACTGGCTGGCATTGATGTTTTTTAAAAGCTTCCTGTGTTATCCTAACATTGTAGCCAGGGTTGAAATCCACAGGCCTCAGTGGTTTCTTATAAGGCCTTTTTCAGGGTTTCTCCTTTAAGACTCCTTGGTTCCCTCAAATTACATGCGTTCTTTTAGGAGGACAGGAGGAAGGTAGAAGAGCAGTGAGAAACATAAGGGGTGGCTGGACAGCTGGGGCTGGAGGGAGACTAATCCAGATCCCCCCCCTGACCCTGGCAAGCAGATCCTACAGGCTATGGGGAAGTCCTATCACCCAGGCTGTTTCCGATGTGTCGTTTGCAACAAGTGCCTTGATGGTGTCCCCTTCACAGTGGACTTCTCCAACCAGGTGTACTGTGTCACTGACTACCACAAGTGAGTTGAACCCTAGGGGTACGACATGGAACTGGGTCCAGGAATTCCCCAACCTCAACTCATCACTACCTTCTCTGTTTCAGAAATTATGCTCCTAAATGTGCAGCCTGTGGCCAACCCATCCTCCCCTCAGAGGTCAGTTTGTCTGGGTTCTTGCAGCCAATGCCGCTGTCTCTGGGGAGGAGGTAGGGACATGTGGCCTGGCCTCCCTTGGGAAGTGGTGGTGCTGAGGAATGTACTCTGTGAGGATTCCCGTGTGACTCTGCTCTTGGGGTCACCACCCTGACCCTAACATCCGGGCCTGGACATGTCTAATGGCTTTCCTGGGCCCAGGCTTCATATCTTCTGTCCCAGTCTAGAGGAGGCTTTCTTTGAGGTTGAGGTCTCCAGATCCCAGATGTAGGGGCTGGAAAAAAGTGGAAAAATCCTCGAGGCTAGCAGGACAAGATCAGAAATGATTTAAGCTGTGTGTGTGGAGGGTATACCTAGGGAAAGAAGCAAAGGCCAGTGAGAAATCAGACCTACTGGACCTCCTAGTCCCCAGCCTGGCCTACTTTATTTATACTCCCTGTCCCTTTCCCTTCCTTCTGTTTCCCCCACACCCGGGATTGTTCAGAAGGAGTGTTCCACATGGCTTGCCTTCCTGGAACAGCACCAGGAAGGGGGGGAGTGCAGGGAATTTCCACTAGGATTTGTGAAGGCATTGCAAAGCTATGGATGATTATATGTGACTACAGGAGGATCTGGTGGCTTCTGTATGATCTTCCCCTTGGGGCAGTAGGAATCTTGTGGGGACAGGGAGTTCAGGGCACCATGCTGCTGTCATCCCCATTGGAGTCTGTGTATTTCAGGGCTGTGAAGACATCGTAAGGGTGATATCCATGGACCGTGATTATCACTTTGAGTGCTACCACTGTGAGGTGAGTGTTGGGGTCCAGGGCTGTTAAGAGGAGAATTGGAATGGTGGTGGGGGGAGAGTCAAATCCTAGGCTAGCTATGAATCTATGGGGGAGATGCAGGACACAGAAAACCAGGAAGGTGCTGTGGCCTATCTCCTCCAGTCTGTTGTCCTCTAGCCACTCTTTGTGGTTCTAGTAGTTTAGTCCTTCCTGAATCTGCCCCATAGTCAAGAATAGGGACTTCTTAGGGCTGGTGGCGCTCAAGTGGTAAGAGCACCTAGCAAGAATAGGGATTACTGATAACTGCTGGAAATGGGGGTTTGGTGCATTATTTCTGCAGTAGCAGCGACACCTGGAGTCCAAATGAGGTATTTTCTCAGGTTTCTCTTCTTCCCATGTCCAGACTCCCCTCCCCCCACCTCACCACCTGGGCCCTGGCAGCCCTTTCTTCCAATCCTTAGGAGTGTGGTATTGAGCAGGACAGACACTCAAGGTGTCTTCAGTGTCCAAGGTGCTGGACTGAGATGAACTAGGTGCCTTCTTCCCTAGGACTGCCGGATGCAGCTGAGTGATGAGGAAGGTTGCTGCTGTTTCCCTTTGGATGGGCACTTGCTCTGCCATGGCTGTCACATGCAGCGACTCAATGCCCGACAACCCCCTGCCAACTATGTCTGAGCTGCAGTCACTGCTCTTGTCATCACCACCATTGACAAACTCCTCTGGCCAGTGGGCCCCTCTAAGGCCAGCTAAGGCAAGGAATGCACTCTGCAATCTTGCAGAAGAGAGCACTGGGGAGGTCCCAAGGGCCAGAGACCCAAAGATCATAACATTCCAAATGGACTGTGGAGAAGGAAGCCTCTGATTGCCAGGTGGGGATGACAGGCCTTCCACACGTACAGCCTGTGCGGTGGCATATGCTCAGGCACACTCAGTCATGTTCCAGTCCTTTCTGAACAGCCAATTCTGGCCCACATCTCCAGTATGTGTTTGTGCATAAGTCAGGGTGTTGGCTCTGGATCACAGGAGGAAAGGACATCGTGGAAGGTCCCCACTCTTTTCTACCCCACACATGATGTCAGACATGGTCTCAGCCAGGTGTTTATCGGTATCCTGTATCTGAATGAAGAGGTGAAAACTCTGGACTTTTTCAGTTAGTCATTTCTTGGCTTCTAAGAAAAGTTTCTCATCCCTCTGCTGGGAATGGGGACCGGTTCTAGTGGGTAGGCCTGCTCCTGTATTGCCTGTTTCTCAGGGACTCGTAGGCCTAAGGAGGCTAACTGGGAACCTATCCTTGATTACTCTTCTGTTCAGCTAGGGAGGTAATGAGTGGGTCTCTGTGGGTATGGAGCTTGCTGGGTGGGACGCCTAGGAAGCTTCAGGCTAGCACCACGCCCAGGTTTAGGTGCACTGAGCCCTATAGTTCAATGTATGTGTACATGGGTACTCACTCTTACTCCCTTCTTCTCAGGTCATTCTTACACTTAGTTCCTAGCAGTAGCTTATGCTCCAGACCTACCACCTTTCAGAGGGATCCTGGATTACTTCCATCGCTGCCCCACAACTCAAGTTTGGGGGAGCTAGAGGAAACAAGACACTTTGATTTGGTTTTAGTTGGTTTGGCTGAAACTTGAACTCACCTAAAACTAGATATCTTAAAACCAGTTCACTGAAAACTTGTTTGCTTAAAAAGAGTTCAGTTTAATGACCCATTTGCCAAAAGCCAAGTTCTCTTTTGGGTATTTTTATATCCATTTAGGCATTGTATTCTTTTTTGTCATGCTTCGGGTATTTTAAGGATTTGTATCTACTCATTCAAGAGTACTTCTGAGTGACTTATCAGCAACATAAATTTATCAAATTTGCAGCACTTTCTAATGATAAAATTGCTTCCTATCTTATGGATGTCTTTTCCTATGTCATCTACTTTTCAAACACTTTTTTTAAAGTTTAAAAGTTTCTAGCAATAAATACAATTGGTACAGACATTTTATGTATCATTTTTGTGTGTGTGTGTGTTTCTTAATCCAATATTCTTTTACAAATTAGATGCCTTGAAAAATGTAAAGGAATTCAGTATGACTTTGATGCTTTGATATGACTTCTACATTCCTATTGCAAAGATGCCAATGTCTCATATACAAGTAAACAGGCACAAGGCATATTTGGTTGACTAACAAAGGTTGTACAGGCAACAGTAGTAATAAAAAGATGAATCTGCTAAATCCTTTTGAAATGCTGCAGATTTGATAAATAATTTATTTTAGGCCAGTCGGCTTTGGGTACTGGTTTTAGGCAATTCGTTCTGATAATCTTTGATCCTTAGTCTGATTATCTTCTGCCCCTTAGTGTGTTTCATTCTGGAAATCATTTCTTCTGAGGACAGAAAAACCACCTTTGGAGGTTATTTAAGATGGCCATGCCAGCCATCCTGGGGATTACATAAAAAAGGCCTCTGAGTGAGAGGCAGTGTTCAGATAAATACAATTGACTGCCAAAGGGGGAAATGCACTTTTTTGGAGAGAGAAATGTTCTGAAACTCTATTGTTTGTTTTACACCTGAGATTGCTTCTTTTGAACTATTATTAAACAAGTGAATACAAAGACCCTGTGACTGGGAAATGTCCTCACCAGGCTTCTCCAGGCCTGGGAACGTCAGACAAACTTGTGTAGCTTTACACCCATACCTTGGGTTCTTTCACTCGAGGGAACTTGTCTACGCTGTCATCTCACCCTGGCTTTGGCCTACCTCTGTTGCTAATTCAACAAGCTCATTCCTTTCTAGGTCTGTGCTGATCTGTCCTAGCCCTGGAGCTCCCCAGGATTCTACTCTCTACTCTTCTTTCTTCTGAGGAAAAATAAATACACCTTAGACAGGCAGAAGACCAGCCCCAGTCATCCCATATCCGAGGCAGGGTCCCAAGGGTGCCCTGCATACAAGAGCTTCCTTTCTTCTGTTTTCTAGGAGATTATTATTTCAATTATTCCTAGGATTAATATTTCTATTTAATATTTACAGTTGATAGTGAAAGATTCATGAGGTGGTGCCAAGGGTACAGCAAAAGGCAGACCTTGTTTGGCCAACGTGCCACACAATTTTCAATAGCTATTAGTCCTAAAATAGAGGAGAGAATGAAGAATTAGGATTCCTTTTGTGTCTCTAGATGAGAGTCACAAAACAAGGGTCAGGCTTGGTAGGCAGGCATTCTACCACTTGAACCATACCCGAAGCCCAAGGGTCAGCCTTTTCCAGCAGACTTCAGCTCTGCTCTGGACAGACCTGGTCACCAAGAGCTCAAAAGTTGGATTATTGAGAATAAGGCTGGGCTGGGAGTGATGCTGCATGCCTGTAATCCCAGCACCAGGACTAAGGAGGCTGAGGCAGGAGGACAACAAGTTTGAGGCCAACCTGGACTACATTAAAAAAAAAAAAAAAGCACTAGGCTGAGTCTGCCTTTCTCCTTAGACTCATTAGAGTCTTGACCATTGACTGAGATTTTGAGGCTAGGGAAATGGTAAAATTCCATTTATAATCAGGTTGGATATTGTCTTTGGTCCAAGAGTTAAAGAGCTATTTCCAAACTCATGAAGTCAGTTGAATGAAGATGTTCAGGTTGTATCTATAAACAGTAAGAAAGCAACAGGAATGAAATAAAAGAATTGGAAAACAAGTGAACTAAAATATGTTTATTTAGTTTTGTGTTGTAGCACCTACACCATAGAGCTGGCCTGAGTCATTCAGAACCTTTATGGTGAGGCTCTATAAGAGTCTAGTAAATCTCAGTCCTCTCCATCCTGTCCGGTTTCCTCCAAATTTACAGACTGGTCTCTGCTGTGCCAATCATGTAGGGGTCCTTGAAATATCCACACTCAGCCTTAGTTATAAAAGACTAACTAAGTCTATTTGATCAAACAAAGACTATTTGATCTTGTAAATAAGCAAATTGTTATTGGGATGTTAGCTCTGTGATGACTGGACAGCCATCAGAGGCAAATTCTGTTCACTGCAGATGTCATTTCACCTCAAATCTTAAACTGGAAAGCACAGTTGCTGAAGGGAGCCAGAGTGTCATACAAGCAGGAAGGGACAGGGCAGCAGGAATACCTACTAGAACTAGTTAGGTTTAGAGGATCAGAGTCAAATGGAGTATGATTTTAAAGACGACCCAGTCACCTCATTTTGAGGGACTAGAAACCCAGAGTGATGATATGATTTACCCAAGTTCAAACAGATATGTCTTTACAATTTTTGACTAATATAGGGTTTTTTCCTCTCTTCCCTCATCCCCCATCATGGGAACACCACAAATAAACTGTAAAGGTGTACTTGTCATTGCAAATGAGACAAGCACCTCATCATAACAGAGAATTAGGGAGAGCCAAGAAATACAAGTAACAATAATGAAAACTCGGTTCTTACAAGTGCTTTTTTGTTACTTAGGACTAACTAGATAAAAATACCTACAAAGCCAATAAACCAGGCTAGTAAGGAGGCTGAGGCAGGAGGATTGGATTGCAAGTTTCAGGCCAGCCAGGGCAATTTAGCCAAGACCCTGTCTCAAAAAAAAGTATAAAAGGGTGCAAAGGGTGTGGCTCAAGTGGTAGATCGCCTGCCTAGCAAGCGCAAGACCTGAGTTCAAAGCTCAGTAGTGCCAAAAATTAGGGGGAAAAAAAAGTAAAAGGGGGCTGGGGATGTAGCTTCCTATCATGCTTAAGACCCTGGGTTCACAAGAAGGAATGAAAGAGGGAGAGGGGGAGAGAGAAGGAGGGAGGGAGGAAGGAAAAGAAGAGAGGAAGAGGAAGGCAGGAAGGGAAGGAGGGAGGGAGGAAGGAAGGAAGAAAGAGAAGAGGGAGGGAGGAAGGAAGGAAGGAAGAAAAAAAAGAAGGAAAGACCTATCAAAGCACATCAGGAGAAGCAAAAGAAATATACTGCAAAAGAGTCCCTACCCTTGAGGAGGTCACAGTCTAGCCAGGGAGACAAATACACACATAAAATGACTTGAGAAGATCATAATCAACATGTCAACAAGTGCAAAGTAATTGAGTGTTACAAATAAAAGACCTAATGCTGTAGGATACAGATTATTGATGAGTGGGACTTTGGCTTGATTATAGGTCAAGGTGGCAGCCAATGAGCTAAATCCTGACCCCAAATGCATTGAGTTGGTCCACCAGGAGTTTTATGATTATGTTTGGCGCTGTGGATTGAATCCGAGGCTTTGTTTATGCTAAGTATGACTGTACCACTGAGTTACGCCCCAGCTCTATTTTATAAAATATATATACACACACATATATACATATGTATATATGTTTATTACCCTAGTTAAAAAGGGAAAAATGGGTTGGGGCATGGCTCAAGTGATAAACCACCTGCCTAGCAAGCAAGAGGCCCTGAGTTCAAACCCCAGTACTGCCAAAAGGTGAGGGTATGGGAATGCCAGCTGATGCTGAAGTAATGATAGAATTGGAAAAACAGCATTTTGTGAACTCTAATAAAATTGGTTCTGGCCAAGATTATTAATTGTTATAAAAAACCGGGTAGACAACTGGACATTCATATAGTGCCAAGAAACACCCTACAGTTTACAGTCTCTCTCTCTTTTTTTCCCCTGGCATTACTGAGGCTTGAACTTGGGGCCTTGTGCTTGCTAGGCAGGTGCTCTACCACTTGAGCCACCTCCAACTCTGAGTTTATAGTCTTGAGGTTGCAAACATAACTATGTTGGAGGGACCTTTATCCATTTCATCTCCCATTTCCTGGAATCAGTCCTAGGCCAATTCTAGTGTGATGTGGGTACAACCTACCATGTATTC